TTACTTCTGCTGCAGCTCTCCAAATATGCTGCCATGGGTAACTTGCACAGAAAAACTTACACTGAAGCTTGCCGCATCTTATTTCTAGACAAAACAGCATCGCTTCTCATGTGTGTAGTATTTATGCATAATACACTATTTTAGAATTTTGGACATGAATGTGTTCTAGTGATAAGAGTTCAAGATTATAATGAATTAAAGCTGCAGTTCGTAACTTTTTTTGGTTAAAAATGATCCGAAATCAATATTTGAGCAAGTACATAACCAGCCAGTGTTCAAAACTATCACCTTACTTTAGCCCTATTCACAACGGTTAGTTTAATAATAATGTTTTCTAATTTGAGTGGTACAGGTAGGTTTTCGCAGGAAATTCGAGCATGGCACTGCGTCATTACGTCACGTCTGTAAACATAAAGAAGTTGTCCTGGCTACTAGGCTATCGCATGTGAGGATCCTGCAGGTGGCCGATCGTTTATAGCCTTTTCTCACAGCAGCCAGAATAATTAAATGTATCATTTTGATGGCGGATTGTAATCCAGAAAGGATTATGTGTTTATGTGAATGAAATTGAATTATATTCCAGTTATAAATGTGCTTCTGATTACAGATAGCCTGGGACTACAAAGATTTGAATTTTAAAGAAAACCAGTTCGAAGGGAGCATAATTTGCTTTTTGGGTTAAAATAATTTCTTAATATGAAATTCGAAGAGTATGACAATTAGATTAGACTGTGCAGAAATTGAAATCTACACGCTAATACACACTATACTCATAGTCGCCAATGCTGATGTTGTTAACATTAATCATTTGAGAATAAAGTATAACAATAATAATAATTTGAACGGTTTGATGTGATATGAGCTAACCAATCTTTAGATTTAATCACCATTGGTAGCGAGATTTATGGTAATGCTTTTTTCCTCAGTTGGTCAGAACAAACGTGGCTTGTTACTTGCTTATTCAGATGGCAATATACGGTGAAAATTCTTATTTGGGTCATATTCCAAGACGTAGGCTAGAATCTGTGATTCCGAAGTACAGTAAATATCCACACCGGTGCGGTGACTGACTGCCACACATACTCTTCAGAACATTAGATTCATCCGCGCTGGAGCCGTGCCGACTCACAACCCACGCAAGCTAGATAATTCCGCACTCAGCTGCAATTCCAGGTTTTCAAACATAGATGGCGACAAAGAGGCAAAGCTTACGGACTGCAGCTTTAAATTGTGGCCTGTTCCTCACACAGAGCTATCATAGAACTTCAGAAGCCTTGGAATATAGTGCAAGAGTTAAATGGCATACTTGTCTGTGGTGCTTTTATTGTGCCATTTATTAATTGATTAATTTATTTTTATTATTTTATTTGTATTTATTTTTTGGAGTTTGACAGCTGTTTGAAGTCATTGTATGGAAAAGATCTTTGTCAAAATTATTGAAAAATTATTTTTTGTGTTCCATGTAAAAAATAAAAACCACATACAGGTTTGGAATGACACGAGGGTGACATCATGTTCTAATTGACCATGAATTTCGGCTTCATTCTTGGATCAAAGAGAGTTCAGTACCATCAGGGGTCATTAGCAGGTCTGTGCTGAATGTACACCCACAGAAAGGCTCAGAACGGTTGTTGTGTAAATTCCACACATGCTCTGCCCCTTGTATTTGTTTATTACTTCACCTAAAATGATAATGGTTTCAGCTACTGATAAAGCAAAATGTAAGTCTATAGATTTAGACTGTAACATTAGAAAGGAAGAAAAACTTTGACCTATTTGTCATTTTAAAGAGATGATAAAACATTTGCTCCAAAGTAGCTCAGCTCAACTTTTCTGTGCCATTTGCTGCACTTACAAAGAGTACAAATACAGGACCTGAGAAGGATCTGAAAAAGAGAAAGGATTGTACGCATTATTTATGTATCATCTAATTGATGTTAACAGTCAGGGTTTACAATGTACAAAGGGTTAAAAGGAGAAATAAAAGAACCTCATTGCATTTAGATCAAAGCTCTGTCATAGAGCAAAGAGGTTTGATTGTTTTGTCTTTCATGAGAATAACATTCACTGACGTAAAATTACAATTACAACATTACAACTTGACTAATGACTTTGAGGAAAGGGTAACTCAGGGATATGGTGGATTCACTCCACCTTAGCCCAACAAACCAATCATGCTCTTCTGACATCTTCACCAGACTATATATAATAGATACCACAGCTTAACAACATAAGCATGGCATGGGAAAAGAGGCGCCTTATCGTAGGGTGCAAATAGGGCCTGAAAAAAGTTTTTTCCTTCCTCTCTCTCTGGGCAATTTTATTTTCTAAGCAGTTTGCAATTTTGAAACCATCTTTAAACCTCTGATGTGCATAATTTTGATATAATACAAGTATTGGTTTATAGTTATTAATAAATTTGTATTTCTCATAAAGTAAAGATAAAAAGAGTTGAATGTTTAAGCTTTATAAATGAAATCAACACAACAAAAGTTTAGAAAATGATATTTGCTTTTATTCCTGCCTTGCTATAGAAAGGGTCCAAATTATGTTAGAATGTTGAGGAATGTTATATATTTTTTGTAATGCTGTTAAATCATGTTGAAACAAGGTTGTTTTTGTTTTTACATTTTGGTAATTCTCACATTGTTATCTGTCTAGTTTTGGTTCTTTGAGTTCTCTTTCATGAACTGTTTAGTTCCAGTGTCCTTGGTTTCTGATTAGTCCCACCTGTTCATTTTTCCCCTCTTTCTTTGTCCTGTGTATTTATACCCCCTGTTTGGTTCAATTCTTAGTCTGTTCTACTTGTTAGGTTGGTTAGTGTTGCTCCTGCATTTCTCTTGTTTCTAGTTCCAGACTGTATTATTTTTGTTTAATAAATATATGCTGCTTGCCAATAGATCCTCACCTCAACTCTCACCTACTCCTCCAAGCAACAGAGACGATTTAAACTGTAAATGACTTATGTTACATAAGTTTATCAAATAGTTCTAAAATTCCAAAAACATAGGATTTGTGCCTTTTTATTCTTTTTGTGAAAAGTGGTACTTTTTGGAGTTGATGCTGCCATGGCTCTATATCATCATATATCAGAGTTAGGGGGTGTGCCTGAAGCGTGAATCCGTATTCAGAAAGGCACGGAAAACAAATAACGTTTGCTAACGGTTGCCTGTTACAGTACAGTACTTAAAATTTTAATTACCACATAGACAGAGTTAGGAGAGATGACTGAGGACGATGGAGAATGATTTGCAGATTCTGAGCACCACTGACAAACATCTAATCTTGTAAAATGTGTGGTAAGTACTGCCGCTCCATAGTATAAACAGAGTAAGTTACATGCGATCGCGAATCTCGAAAGTGAAAGTGAAACTAAAAAGTGATCGTGCATTCAAAAGCAGTTTCAATGCCAGGCATAATAGCAGCTCCCTGATGCCCGCAATATACAGTATAATTACCCAATGATAAAACTGTGAGAGAAAGTATTGAAATACATATTTTCCTCCCATCTCGTATTTATTCCCTTTAGGGGTTCCGTAGTACACGTCATTTTCTTTCCGAACACAGTATTGGGATGCGGTGGATTGCAGGGGGAGAGTGGAATCGGCGATGGACGATGGATCGGCCCAACCCTAATCTGCACTTCATTATTTATATACACTCACACTCCCCATACACTCTTTCACACTAACAAGTGCGCAATTTATTTGTATGTGGTGCAAAACTCATCTGTTGAGTGTCTGTGGTGCAAGGTGTGCACTGCTACTGCTAGGGGTCTCCACTGGTTGATATGACAGCTCTGCCGAGTTCACAAGAGACAACTGGATCCCAACATGATGCAATCTCAGCCACATTCTACGTCTGCTGTTCCCTCACTTTCTTTTTCATTTATTCCACTTACAGATGTCTCTTCTATCTGTATTTCTCACTCCCATCATCCTCTCTGCTTCCTCGTTCATTTTTCATCGCTCTGTCTGTACTCGCTTTTTTGTTCTCGATGAGATATTGAAATCCATGCATTCCAGAGCTTCCTGTCTCTGTGAATATGAGAGCCTGTGCACATCTCTCCTGGTTTGCGAGCTGTCGTCTGTTCTGCAGGTGAACACGCTGCACCTGCAGAACCCAAATGCATTTCCAGTGTTCAGCTGTTGAGTCATGAAGGGAAGCTCTATATCGGGCTCAGAGGCAGACGTGCTCACACACTTCCCACTGTGGACATCATGCCAAACAACTGTGCTTTCCAAAAACAGAAATATTTTTTTTCAGGCAAAAATCTGTATTTTTGTGTTGTTTTCCAGTATCACAAGATAAATATAATTGATTGTAAGATAGTAAGACAGATATTCGGCATAGTTGGCTAAATTAAGCATAAGTTTAGTTATTTGATGTACAATATCAAATAAAATGCTAGAAGGGTCACACTAGACACAAAAATTTCTTCGGGCATTGCAACGGTTATATATCACACTTGGCAGCATCTTTTTAAAAACAAATTCAACATATAACAAATAATAATACAAAATAATAATAATATACAGTCTACTCTACAAATTCACAAGTTCACCAAACTTGAACTTTAAAATGCAGTGAAATGTGAATAGCAAGTGTAGTGTGAGCTTTTCTTAAAAAGAAAACACGTTTTTGTAGATGTGATAATAAAAAGAATTAAAATAAATAATGTACTCATGAAAAGAAGTCCTAATATCTTCTTAATACATATTTGTTGAATTTATTTTTTATTTTTTTGCTTTAATTCAAGACGAGAAGAAAAGCAAAATTATCAGGGATTTTAAGAAAAATATAAAATATTGTAGTTTTAGGATTAAGATGATGTGGCATATAAAATACAGGACGATATGCCATAGGGAAGCCTTTTTTAATGTATTAAATATATATGATGTAGCTGCATTAACAACATATTGAAAATACATGGTCAAGCCAGTTGGCCTAAACCTTCACATAATGACAAAAAGCAGTTGAATTTAAGTTGAATTGTAAGAATGAGAATCAGACTCTCCTTGATGTGAGCATATGAACATTTAAAATCTTACTAAAGACATAAACTATATGACCAAATGTACATGAACACCCATCTGTAAATGAATGGTTTTTGAAAATTTAAGCTACATAAAGCTGCATATAAAATTAAGCATACAGTCATGCAGTCTCCTTAGACAAACATTTTAATACCCTTTCTGTTTCAGCACGACATGTCTCACAATGTGAGATTCATAAAAAAATAATTCCCTGAATCTGGTGTGGAAGAACTTGACTGACCTGCACAAATCCCAGAAACCCACTAAACACTTTCAAGATGAATTGGCATGCCAAATGAGAGTCAAACCACATGACCCAACATGAGTACATGACCTCACTTTAGCTCTTGTGTCTCAATGGCAGCAGATGCCCACAACCTTTCCAGAAGATTCAAGGTTGTTTTAGTAGCAATGGGAGGACCAACTCCTTATTAATGCCCATTAATGACTGTAAAACTGTAATATTTTTACTTGCAACTTTTGGCTATGGAGTGTATAAACATTTTACAAAAGAAAAAAATTGTTGACACAGAATGCAGTTCATTGGAAGATTCCAGATAGAATTAAATGTCTCATGGTCATTTCTGTGTTTCAGGTCATCATTGACGTGCCCTCATTGCCTTAAACAGAGCAACACCTTTGACCCTTTCCTGTGTATTTCACTTCCAATCCCACTGCGACAGACTAGGTATGTTACTGTGTCTTCTGTCTCTATTTCTTTGGAATCTATTAGGACTGTTTGTCTTTATATGTATTTTTATGTGTGTTTCATTATATGCTTGTCTGTGTACCTTTGCTATTGTGTGTTTAAGTTTGTTTGTGTCCTTAGCCACCCAGAAATACTGCATGTGATGAATGATCAAGTGCACAGCTCTTAACAGGACATTGTCACAATTTTCTTAAATCTCAAAAACTGCCAGTCAGCAAAATCTCTCCAGTGAGACTTGTCAACCTGTCAGAAAGACCGATAATAGAATGAGAGAAATATATAGAGAGAACTATGGCTCATCATGAATGCTTGTACCAGTAATACTGTCTGAAACACTCAGATTTCCCAGCATGCTCATCTCTGAATCACTAACCTCCAGTTTTCACATTAATTTTATTGAAAGTGGAATATTTAGGAGCACTGAAAGCTTAGGGGGCCAAATTTGAAGGTCATCAGTAAATGTCAGTGAGTGCTAGTTTTAGTGCTAAAACCTACCATACTTATTATGGTACCCCTACCCCAAAAGGGTCTCGCCCCTATTTTGATAGCTCCGCCCCACACATACGTACGCAACGATTAGTTCTGTGAAACAAAGCAAAACCAATGTTACACCGTGTCTACACCGGATGCGAGCGGCGCGACAAAATACTATAGAACTCATTATAATCAGTGATGCTATCTACACCACAGATATATATACATATCTATGGTCTACTCTGGATGCGGTGCGGCGCGACACGACACGACACGACAAATCCCCGACAGAAAACTGCTGCTGCGTTCTATTCATGACGTATTGA